TGGTGACGTACTGATGGGGTTTTGGTGTGGGTGTCCTTTCTGTTTGTTAGTTTTCCTTCTAACAGTCAGGACCCTCATCTGTAGGTCTGTTGGAGATTGCTTGAGGTCCACTCCAGACACTGTTTGCCTGGGTATCAGCAGCAGAGGCTGCAGAAGATAGAATATTGCTGAACAGCGAGTGCTGCTCTCTGATTCTTGCTCTGGAAATTTCGTCTCAGGGGTGTACCTCGCCGTGTGAGGTGTGAAGTGTTGGTCTGCACCTAGTGGGGGATGTCTCCCAGTTAGGCTACTCAGGAGTCAGGAATCCACTTGAGCAGGCAGTCTGTCTGTTCTCAGATCTCAACCTTCGTGCTGGGAGATCCATTGCTCTCTTCAAAGCTGTCAGACAGCTGTCAGACTCCACCCAGAGGTGGAGTCTACAGAGACCGGCAGGCCTGCTTGAGCTGAGGTGGACTCCACCCAGTTTGAGCTTCCCAGAGGCTTTGTTTACCTACTTAAGCCTCAGCAATGGCGGGCACCCCTCCCCCAGCCTCGCTGCTGCCTTGCAGTTAGATCTCAGACTGCTCTGCCAGCAATGACGGAGGCTCTGTGGGCGTGGGACCCTCCGGGCCAGGTGTGAGATATAATCACCTGGTATGCCGTTTGCTAAGACCATTGGTAAAGCACCGTAGTAGGGTGGGAGTTACCCAATTTTCCATGTGTTGTGTGTCTCAGTTTCCCTTGGCCAGGAAAAGGGATTCCCTTCCTCCTAGCGCTTCCCAGGTGAGGCGATGCCTCGCTCTGCTTCAGCTCTCGCTGGTCAGGCTGCACCAGCTGACCAGCACCAATTGTCCTGCTCTCCCCAGTGAGATGAACCCGGTACCTCAGTTGAAAATGCAGAAATCACCCATCTTCTGTGTTGCTCACGCTGGGAGCTGGAGGCTTGAGCTGTTCCTATTCAGCCATCTTGCTCTTTCTGGCAATTCTTATTTGAGATTTACACTTAACTTTGGCCCAGTTCCCTGATCTTTGTATGCTTTGGTCTTCTCATCTATAAAATTGTAAAGATTAAATGAATAATGCATGTGTATAGTAAAGGCTCAATAAATGTTAATTAATATTATTTATCATCAATACTGATTTCATGAATAATGTATTTGTTACCCTATGTTGTTACTGTTTTATTTGCAGTTGACAACCTTAAGATCTTTGTAGAGTACCTTCAGCAAGTAATTAGCAGAATTGAGATGTTTCAGGCATTTTATCATAGTCTCAGACCATTAGGCTACAGTGTTGACCTTAAAAATAAATATTTTTAAATATAATATTTGCTACATGCTACACTTTAAACTGGACTCTTTGTTGTTGTTGAACAGTGTCACACACTCTCATCCAGGTTTGAGTGCAATGGTGTAAACACGGCTCATTGCAGCCTCAACCATCTGGGCTTAAGTGAATCTTCCACCTCAACCTCTCGAGTAGCCGGAACTACAGGCGCGTGCCACCATGCCCAGATAATTTATTTTATTTTTTTATTTTTTTATTTTTTGTAGAGAAGGGTTCCCACTATGTTGCCCAGGCTAGTCTTGAAGTCCTGGGGTCAAGGTATCCTCCCATCTTCGCTTCCCAAAGTGGTGGGATTACACATGTGAGCCACCATGCCCAGCCTAAACGGGGCTCTTACAGATACTTTAATATACATTTATCTGCATATTGCAAACTACAAACAGTTATTCTTCTCACCTGTTCATTATATTCAAGAAAATATATCATCTGTTTGTCACTTTTGAACCTGCTAACCTGGCAACACCAAGATTTCATATAGTTGAGTATGAGTGAAGAAATTATGTATCAATAAGCAAAGTACAGCTGTACTGCATGTATAATATACAGATTTTTGTTTGAGCTTTAGGAAATTGCAATTTATATGATTTTTCTAAGTTCTTAAAGATACTCAATTTATGAGAGATGCTCAAGTTTGTATCTTATGAGCATTTATTTTTTAGCGTGTAACAGTGCATAGATTTTTCATTGGAATTTATATTTAAAAGGTTTACTTTGTACATTTCCTTATATAGTTTATTTTTTAAAATAGTATCCTAAATGGGACAACTAAATTTTGAAACTGTTTTGTAAACTGTCTAGTAAATGGAAGACAGTTAGCTAATTTATCTCATGTATATGTTATCAGCTTTAATCAGTTTTCCTCTTTTACTAACCAATATTTTAAAATAATGTTAAGATTCATTGTCATGAAGCTTATCTAAGAAAAATTATTTAATCACTATGTATAGAGTACAGTTGATTCCACAGCAATTTTTAATTATTTCTTGTCTATAATTATTTTTATAAAATGAACTTGTTTTCATAAAGTGTGTGGAAAAGATGTTAATCAAAAGCTTCAACAACAGAAAATGCTTTAAAATGTAAGGAAACACTTGTATAAATAACTATATAATAAATAATTACATATATTCCAGATTTTTTTTCTTGAATGATTTATAAGAAATAGTTACATTTCTTTGGCAGTAAAGAGGGAAGCAAGCAACTCTTTCATTTAACGTTTTACATATAACGTTTTACATATGTGTTTGTGATCTTGTTACACATATTGCTATTTTTCAGAACTTCAACAGAGGTTAATTGGCATTGAGATTCTGGACCTTTTTCCCCGTATTCATGCTTATCTTTTTGAAAGAAAATAATAGTCCGTAAATGTAATCTAAAAATTAAAATGGCTAGTAATGACAAATGTATCAAGTTTCTTGTTGACGATGACAATTAAAAAATTCCTAACTTTGCTTAGATAAGTAAAACTAATAAAGCTTTCACTTCTACATATGTGTTTTTCAAAATAAAACATTTTCTAGTATGTTGATGTGACAATTTTACAGCTGTTAATCTTTAACCTTTGATTGTTTCTTCCTTCCAGCAATTTTACCTGCTCAGGAATGGAAACCTCCTCTTCCAGCTTACGATTTTCTAAGTATGATGGATGCTGCAACATCTCAACATAGCACTAGGAAAATTCCCAAGTGTATGAAAGAAACAGATGTACAGGAGAATGATAAGGAACAACATGAAGATAAATCGGCAGTCAGAAAAGAACCGATTGAAACTCTGAGAATAAAGCATTGGAATAGAAGTAATTGGTTTAAAGAAGCAGAAAAATCATTTAGGCATGATAAAGAGTTATGATGCTCAAAGGTGAACTAATTTTATAGGGCTGTGGTTTCCAAAATTTTTTTGGCATACTAGACTTAATTTATTTCCTTAAAGAATAATACTAAATCATTTCAAGTTTGTAGACTAGTGCCGTCCAATAGAATTATAATACAAGTCACATGTTTTATTTAAAATTTTCTAGTAACTAAGCAAAGTAAAAGTGAGCAGGGCAAAATAATTTTGATATTATTTTTCACCCAGTAGTATGCCAAAAATAGCTAAATTAATATAAAAATTATTAATGAGGTATTTTACATCCTTTTTTATACCAAGTCTTCAAAATACAGTACATATTTTATGCTTACTGCATTTCTTACTTCCGAGTAGCCCTATTTCAGGTGTTCATTAGCCATATGTGGCCTGTTAGACAAAAACTAGCATCACTAACTTAGTTCTAGCCGTGATTTATACTTGGATTAAAATTAAAATATAACTCTGATCACAGTTAACTCCACAGTGCATTCATGCAGCTGGCAGTTATATTTGTTTTGTTGTAGTCATGATATTGAAATCAGTGTTTGTCAACCCGGGGGCAGTTTGGCTCCTCAGGGGATATTTAGCAATGTTGGGAGACATTTGTGATGTCATGACTAGGGCAGTTATTGGCATTTAGTGAGTAGAGGCCAGGGATGCTGCTAAATAACCTACATTGGACAGCCCCCCCCCCCCCAACAAAGAATTACCCTTCCCAAAATATTAGCAGTGCCAAGGCTGAGTAACCTTGGGTAAGGTAACCTGTGGCAGACTAGGTTTCCAGAATTTCCTGGTTCTGCTCAAGTATCATGTTTGAAAAAATTTTGGCTATTAAAGATATGTATTAGATGGTCTTATCCTGATTATTACCTGGATACAACTTGATCTTTTCTAATATTTTCAGAAAGTGATGGGATAACCCTAGAAGAGGACTCAGAATGATATTTATATTTTAAGGGAGGCTTAAAACCTGCTCTTATTTCTACAACTTATATGGCTAAATTTCAGATTGAACAGGAATTCAGCATTCTGCCATCTCCTCATGGAAAGAGAGGCTCCCTCATCTGAAGCGTCTCTGAAATCTACCCTTGCAAGCTTCAGACAAACCATTTTGTCTCCCTGAGCCACAGGGCCTCATCTGTGAGGGAGGGAAAGATTAGCCAGAGTAAATTTTCATTCCAAATCACTTAGCTGTTAGACTGATCTGTTTGTAGCAGTTGTTTGTCTCATTTTTGCTCTGTGCATTTTTTGAGACATTTGTTGAGAATTTCTATTTGGTGCTCTACTGTATTTTTCATTTTAGTATCTACTTGGTATCTTGTTCTTTAAATTATCTTCATGTATGGTTTGCCTGATACAACTGAGTTTTATAACTGAAATTTAAGGAATCAAACAGCTAAAATTCAGTAAGTGCATGTATTTCCTTATAACATAGACCCTTTGCTACTCTCAGCACCCTCTCCTCAATTTTTTTCCTGTAGCATGTGATGCCTTATTAATTCAACTCATTTTCATTTGCTTTTATTTCTAATATGGGATCTATGAGAGTGAACTCTAAATATGGTTTGTAGTAATAAAACATCATTAGCCTAATTATTAGAAAATGCTAATTAAGTACCAGCACATAGAAGCATGAAATTGCTTAGTCATTGTACCTTTGTCAGCAATTTTGACAGTCATTAATGTTTGTAATAATTTTAAATAAAGTATCTGGGTTTCAGACTACCTTCACAAGCCTTCTTGAGTCTCTACTGTGCCCTCTCTTGGACTACTCTCCCTCTATCAGTTGGGTTTCTTTGGTTACAAGCAACAGAAATTCAACTTTGGCTCACTTAAGCAAAATGAGAATATTGGATAATTCACAGAGAAGAAAAATTAAACTAGGCTTTCAAAGGATAGGAACTAAGTCTGTTCTATGTAATAGGAACTAACAAGTCAGTGAAGAATCAGTTTCAACAGAGATACTATCTTTTATGACTCAGGGAGTCCTGGGAAAGTTGGGTTGGGGACCACTAGTCACTTTAATTGATGGTCCTAACAGTACTTTCGAATGCAGAAGGGGTAAATCTCACAAAAGAAATCCAAATTCTGTTTACCAGAAAAAGAGAATGAATGCAGAGGAGGAAAAACAATGAAGAAATAGAAAACCCATGAATCCTCAAGACACTGCTTGCTGTTCTACCATCCTCTGTATCCTTTTCAGATCTTTCTGCTACCTCTTACCCATTTTTGAGAGCTCCAAAAGCCCTCTCTTTACTCTGAGTGGTTACAGCTTTTCTGTATGTTCTCCTGGTCCTCTAGTAGGGTTGGTTGCCAGTGCATATATACATTTTGTATAACATTTCATCTCTCATGAGTCATATTATTTCACCCTCTCCTGCCTCACCTGTGCTAGAATGTAAATATCCTGGTCCATTGTTTCCAGCCCTTGTGATGAAATATTTCATGAGTTGTTTTTCAAAATTCCTAGAGTTCCTCACTTATGCCTATGCTTCTTTAAAAACTAAATATGTGTAAGGTGAACAACAAGAGTTTGCAAATCAGTGTCTATTTCAGTAATAAAAAGTAATCAAATAGATACACTTTGGGATTTTCACTTCCACCTAAGATGTAGAAAGCTGCAAGAGAATGTTACTCCTATCCTAACAACAAAAAGTGATAAATTTTCTTATATCCATCAGAGAAAGTAGCCAAAGGAACTGGTTTTCAAAGAGTGACAAGCCCCCTTCAGAGAGAAACAGGATATATGAACTGTTTTGCCTTCATCAGAGAATAGGAGGCTGCCATTAAAGCAAGTGAGAATAAATGATAAAGAATTTAGAAGAGTCTGTGTGCTTACACTCCTTGCAAGTTAGTTTGCCTCAGATTCCTGAATCGGAAACAAATGACTTTATTACACCAGTAGCATTAGTCAATGTCAGCATCCCCACAGTGTTGTTATCAGAAGAGGCCCAGGTGATACCTGCACACACAGTGGATTGCATAACAGAAGGAACCCTGAGTTTAGGGAACCAAATATGTTATAATGGATATTTAGCATGCTTGCCCTTTGCTCTGGAGGAATAGGTCTTTATTATACTGGACAGTAATCAAACTTGTTCTTCTTCTAGAGGGAGATACTGTCTGGAGAGATGGTATCTCTGTCGGTCTTTCCAGGCTGTTCTTTATATAAATATCCTTGAAAAGGTAGTCCAGAAAAAAGGCAGGCAGTACCTTTCCATGCAATCATGCAGAAATGTGAGAGACCCGTGGAGAATTGTCTACTGACAGAAATCATTAAATGTTAAGGAATTCTTTAAAGGCCAACTGTGTAATCGATATCAGTTTAAAATAGGTCCCCTGACATGACAGAGGTTCACAATCACTTTCCACAAGCCTCCACTGCATGCTGATGAGAAAGACTGGGGCAAGAGACTGGTGAGAAGAGACCCCTCAGTGACACAGGCATGCATGAAATGCTGGGCTGACAGGCGTGAAACACAGCCCGCTTCCTCAGACCTTTCTCTTGTACAAAGCAAAGCCACTGGGGGAGAGATGGCAAACCTTCCTGCCCTTATGGCCCAGGCAGAGATCCACTGCTCTTGAAGGAGATGTAAAAGCAAAAATCTTTTGCCCTTGAGAAAGGCAGAAAATCTTGTGGGCCCAGGATCCTGTGCCAGTAACCAAGCAGAAATTCACTCTCACTAGAAGTACAGAAAATCTCTCCTGTTCAAGAATTCCCCAAACCGATGAGTATATAATTCAAATTGCAATGATGCAATGAAGGATATATAAAGGGAAGTGATACAGAATGATTATGATCAGAGGACCACCTACTTAAGTACAGTGGTGAGGTGAGTCCTCACTAATGGAGTGATATTTGAGCTAAGACTTAAAGGATGAGATAGCCACCCTAGATCAGAATAAAGAGCATTAAGGATAGAGGAATAGCATCTGGAAGACTCAGGAAAGATTTTGGCTTATTTAAAGAATGGAATAGAACCAATATGGCTGGAGTCTAATGGGCAAGGGGGGCAGTAAAGAGATAAGGCTGGAGAGCTAGGAAGAGGCAGCATTACACAGGGTTTTGGAAGACATGGATGGTAAGGCATTTAAGTGCACCAAGAAGCAGGGGAGCAATATGATGGGATGCAAAACTTCAGAAGAATATTCCAGTTGCCATAAGGAGTGGCCATGGAGATGGAGAGATGAGGATGGATTTGAGCTGTATTTTAGAGGTTTGACCTGTAGCCCTTGCTGATGGATTGGATCTAGGTTTTGAGGGAAAGGGAAGAACTACAAATGACTCAAGTTTCTGATATTAATAACTGAAAGAATGTGGTGCTATTTACTGAAATGAGGAAAAGGGAAGCTGGGGTGGTGGTAGGGTGAACAGAAAATCAAAAGTTTTATTTTGTCTACATTAAGAGTGAAAAACCTGTTTGATTTCAAGTTGACAGTTGGATACTTTGGGCTGGAGCTTAGTGGAAAGCTGTTCTTCATTGATTCAACGAATACTGTTTATTGTCTGCCAGGCACTGTTTTTGGAAATGTGAATGAAACAGCCCCTTTCTTCATGGAACTTATATTCTAGTGCAGATGAGATGGAAAATAAGTAAACATACAGTTGATACACAGATGATAATGGCTGTGAAAAAAATAAGACAAAGGAGGGTAAGGAGAGGTATAGGAGATTCTAAAAATGAAGTGTGGATAAGGAAGGCCTCACTAATAAGGTAAACTTAAATAAAACCTAAAAAGGAAATGAGGGAGCAAGCTTTCAGGTTATTTGTGATCAACCCTGTTACTTAAAACAATTTAGAATGCTAGATAATTTTTTAAAATCTTTATTCAAACGATTGAGGGGCTGACTGACAAGAGACCAAAAAATTACTGGGCCAAAATGTAAGTAAAAGCAGGAAACCAGAGAATTAAAGGACGCGCTTTTAAGTATTTTTTCCTAAAGCGCTTGTCCATGTAAGCTAACTTACTCAGCTCTCATATTTATATTTTAGTAAGTTATTTTGCTCTGGAGTTTTTTGTTTTTTGGTTTTTTTTTTTTTTTTT